TAGAAAATAGTTATTACAGACCAAATATGAGACACAAGTTAAAAGTATGACAACTTCATCCTGTGCAATGGAATATGACAGGAAAATCTATGTTATATGAGGGAGAATAATAAGAAACTCATTCTGTAGCCCATGGCCTGGTAGGCAATGCTCTCGTTTCACACACTCGAGTGTTCGTGGTTCAATCCCTGGCAAGGGTGGAAACACTGGGCATGGTTCTTTAAACCTGTTGTCCTGCTGACCTAGCAAGCAAGTAGGTACCTGGGTGTTAGTCAACTGGTGTGGGTCGCATCCTGGGGACAAGACTGGGAACCCCAATGGAAATATGACAGACAGTCCCTCGATGAAGCACTGCCTTTCTTGGGTTATCCTGGGTGGCTAGCCCTCTGGGGTTAAAACAAAATCTTATCTTACCTCTTATCTTCTGTGATGGACTATTCTGAATGGCTTATTACTGTGGACATACAAATACAAGTTTAATTCAACATAATACATTGTTTATAAAAAATGAGTGATGCTAGAGTGCATGCTGAAAGCCCATGGTTATGCAAAGCATTTTGGGCAAGCTTAATTAACTCCTGGGCAATCCATTGGGGGTCTGTAGTCTACCCTTGGACTAACAGTACAATGTAATGGTATCTGGGTATTAGCCAACTGCTGTGGTTTACATCCTAGAACCACAACAAAATAAGACATCGTGAGTTTCTTGAGTAGGACTTGCGCATGAGTTAATAGGGTTATCAAAGCTTATTCCTTGGGTGGCATTGAAAATGGGTTTGGGTTTGAGGAAGACCTGCCAAGTATGGGCTAGTAGGCCTGCTGCATTGTTCCTCCTTTTTATGTTATACTGGATTACTTCCTTGCTGGGTTAATAATTCGAATAAAAAATTTATTCCCACATTTCTAACTCTCCTACGTCAGCGAGTTATCCTGCTTAAAGTCGGTGACTTCGTAAAATATATCGATGTGTTATCCAACAACATAAATACATGTATACTATTTATATTCAATTACACCATAGTCATCATAAATATAAAACATAAACAGAACTTACACTTGCAAATTATACAACTGATTGTATATGCATATAATCTGGTCACTATGCTAAGAACTATAATTAAGTAAATTGTTATTTAAGTATATATATTTTTTTTCAATAAGCTTCAAAGCAAACTGGTTAACGCCATTATATAATACATTATGTAGATTTAAAATCAATGTAACTTATTTTCACTGGCTGCTGTTTATTTAATAGACGTGCACCAAAAACCACACAAATGAAAGACTCTAAAGTTAATCCCCTGTCAGAACTCTTTTTCTATAATGATTAACTAAGAAAATAAAACTTACAGTACATGAGCTGTGCATCAACCCCTGCAACTACATATAGGAGAGTACACTGTATATTATTAAGGCGTAGAATGTTCATAAAAATAAATATTGTGTAATTGAAGGGCACATACGGCCCTAGAACCGTGTGTGCCCTTTAGTATTTATTTAATCTTAACCTAGAACTAATAACTAAGTTTATTTAAGTACAGGTACACATAATACAGTTATATAAATTATCACACATAGCAGCATTTGTGTAGATTACCTAGGATAACCCCCCAAAAATCAAACTTGATTTTGTCTTTAATGTTATTAGTTACAAGACAGTGCGGGGGTATCTTTTACTTAAAACTTCCCATTGGCATTTTTTTTCCTAATTTGACTCACAGCTTTCCGTATCCATGGGCTTTCCTGAGTAATATATACTGTACTGTAAGGACATGTCTGACCTCTTTTGGATTTACACGTACTCACCTATTTGCGGCTGCAGGGGTCGAGTCTTAGCTCCTGGCCCCGCCTCTTCACTGGTTGCTACTGGGTCCTCTCACTCCCTGCTCCATGAGCTTTATCAAACCTCGTCTTAAAACTATATATGGTTCCTGCCTCCACTACGTCACTTTCTAGGCTATTCCATTGCCTGACAATTCTATGACTGAAGAAATACTTCCTAACATCCCCTTGACTCATCTGAGTCTTCAGCTTCCGATTGTGACCTCTTGTTTCTGTGTCCCATCTCTGGAACATCCTGTCTTTGTCCACCTTGTCTATTCCGCGCAGTATCTTGTATGTCATTGTTAACTGTCATGCCCAATTATTATTATAATCACAGGGAAGCGCTTAACTCGTAGGATTATACAGCGCATGTGGGGGGGATGGAAGGTATTCAGGCTCAGTTCAGGGAACTGGAGCACAGATCCAATTCCCTAGATCAATTATTATTATTATAATCAAGGGGAAGCGCTAAACCCGTAGGATTATACAGCGCCTGGGGGGGGATGTGGAAGGCATTCAGGCTTAATTCCGGGAACTGGAGCACAGATCCAATTCCCTAAATCAAGAGCCCCTCACCAACATCAAGGAACCTTCCCTGAGGGGTCCCTAGATCAAGAGCCCCTCACCAGCGTCAAGGAACCTCCCTTGAGGGGTGTCATGCCAAGCATAGATTAGAAATACCAACACTCATGTACCACAACGTATAAGCAGGTGATACTGTGCTCATTATGGATGTATAGACATGTACTCACCTAATTGTGGTTGCAGGGGTCGAGACTCGGCTCCTGGCCCCGCCTCTTCACCGACCGCTACTAGGTCCTCTCTCCCCCTGCTCCATGAGCTTTATCATACCTCGTCTTAAAACTATATATAGTTCCTGACTCTACTACATCGCTTGCCAGACTATTCCACTTCCTAACTACTCTATGACTGAAGATTATTATTATTATTATTATAATCAAGGGGGAAGCGCTAAACCCGGAGGATTATACAGCGCCTGGGGGGGGGGATGTGGAAGGCATTCAGGCTTAATTCGGGGAACTGGAGCACAGATCCAATTCCCTAAATCAAGAGCCCCTCACCAACATCAAGGAACCTTCCCTGAGGGGTACGATGGTACAAGTATTAACTTCACCATGGTAACCGTCACTTACCATGACCTGATTTTCGACACATGCAGTGTTGCTGCATGACCCAATATGCATGTGGTTAGGGGCAGGCAAGGTTAAGGGGGTACCCGTACCTTCACAACCCTCCAGTGTTATATTCACTGGGAAACGCAAAACCCTTAAGGGTTATACAGAATTTTGGTAATGGTAAAGGGAAAGGTTGCTCTAATTTCTTGGACCAGGAGCCCTCTATCAGAATTAAGGGATCTCCCGCTTGAGAGAATAGTGTATTGAATTGCTATCATCCTAAGATGATAATATCCATATTTCGGAATTGGAGTTCCACTTCAGTTTTTTTTATATCAAACCTGATTATATCCCAAAGCAGTCCCATGACCGTTGTGGGATCAGCGCTTCCCCATGAATATTATCAGTTGAAGAGCTGGACCTATAGGGGCCATATGGGGTGTGGAAAATTGCATTTATCTGAATGTAACTAATTATGTACATAACAGTAAATGATAACAAAGATAATTATTATTTATCAATGTTACATAGATAAGTAGGAATTTGGGACACCTAGGTCGCAAAAAATGTCCCCCTTCGATACCTACCACTGTCATAACCACAAGTTGCTCTGGACCTATTAATTAAATGAAATATACATACACCAGGAATACTGGTAAATATATAAATTTGTGGATTGTATATTAAAAATAATAAATGGTTATATATATACACACAATTGCATAACAGAAGGAAAATATATCTTAATATCACTCACCAATTTGACTGGAGATTGATGTGTATCATACTCAGAAAACCTCACTCTAACTAAATCTATGAAAATAATGCTGGCCAGAATTACACACAAATCTAGAGAGCTTATCTGAGGTTCCTGGACTGTCTTGTCCAGTCGTCTGATATCTCAAGTTACGCAGGAATGCACATCCACCAATTTCGCCTCCTATTTGAGAGGTGTCAACACAATTTTAACCTCTAGAGCACGAAAAATTCTTCCCATTACACCAACGTTTGTACAAAATTCAAAACCAAGATGGCGAGTCTCGTCTGCGCAGACGCAGGCTTTCCGTTTTCTATGACAAATATTATTAAATACAGTATGGCCATCTATTTACATATAAATACTGAATTTCTGGAAAATATATACAGTATTTTCCACATAGGGCCTAGGGAATGAAACAATCAGGTCTGATCCAAGGAAGGTGAGGATACGCCCAGTTCCTTGGATCAAGAGCCCCTCACTGGCATCAAGGCATTCCCGAGGAACCCCATGACTATAATACACAATATTACATAACAATGAAGATGCTAAGCATTTGTTTAACATTCTTTTAAATTACATAAAGTTAAAAATACTTTAATCATGTGTCAGATATCTATGAACATATTGTCATGCGTCTCTATTGTGCCATGTTAAAAATTTATCCCTTATTCCTTGACAGCCTAACAAAGTAGTTTTTCTAAGCAAAAAAATTCAAATCTACAAAATATTGAATTTCATACTATAAATAATTAAAACTAGTATTGGGTAAATTTATTAAGTTCCTGTGGCCGTGACTTATATAACTTAAATATTTGAGTCATCGATCTTTATTACATATAGTCATGTGGTCAGATAATGCCGCCTTTAGACATTCGATTGGTGAAGCAGGATAAAAAATATTAGTGGAATTGACGGAAGTGCGGTAAATTAATGGCGGGGGTCCCATGGGTTCTGGAAACTCTTTAATGGATCATATTAGTATAGCTGGATAACATTATTTACCTCATACCCATCTTGTGGGCGGTAATCAAAATATTAAAGAGGCACATAATGAATCAAGAAATTGGGTTCTAGCATTATGTTAGCCAAAGTAATTTACAGAAGAAATACAGTTTATAATGGCAATAATCCATAAAATCAAGTTAGAAGTAATTCTTACAATAATAGCCTTTTGCACAAGGAATATACTAGGCTTAAGAGAACTGGGTCCCAAACTTGTGGGTAGTAAGTTTATTTAGGTACAGGTACACATAAGTACAATTATAATGCCTAAATAAACTTACATAGCAAGAGAGTAAGTCAAAAATAAGTGAGATCATCATGGTGAGCTTTGGGATGCTGCAGGGAGTGTAGGGAGACCTTCTGCTTCAGGTCCTTGTATACACGTACATGAACCACATCCTCTTCTCCAATGTCAATCTGAACACAGTTAATGTGCTGATCAGACTATATACAAATAAAAAAAATGGGTTCATATTAAATAACTAATTTTGTCATAATTTGATCTTAATCTGTCATTTTTTATTAAGACAAAAACAAGACGAGTCAACAAGCAGGAAAGCTTCTAGATTCAAAATGCACTGGGGACTAATTAAAAAAATAAAATGTATTCCAACATGTCATACCAGAGGAACGAAAATCGTAAAATGAAAAAAAAATGAGGAAAATACCAGATAATGTGATACACTTTTATCACATTAAGTGTAAGAGGTTAATTTTTTAATTGAAGTATCTACCTTAGCGAAGTAGTTCATTCCTGCCACAACTTGGGTCTTGTAGGAGAGAAGTTTAAACTGCGATACAGACCGTCCCAGTTTCTCCTCAACCTGTCAAGTGATTAGGCCTAATAATTAGCAGGCCTAGTTATAACTATTAGGCCTATATCTTTTGGGATAGAAACAGTAAGGCTTTTGGCTATGTGTCACGGGTAATGTAATATACCGCTGCCTTTTATTTTCTTAATCTTCCAGAACGATGAGTCTTATCAGGTGTAAGTGAGGGAAGATAAAGATACAGTCACAGCTGCTGATTACAACGGATATTCTTACACCTGTCTAACTTCCTAGAGACGGAGATACAGCCTATGTGCCTGTGTATAATGTTTGTCAGATAACAGGACAAGAGTTTCCTGATGCGGGTCTTAGTCATATGATGACCCGCAGCTGGAGATTTTGGTCATCTGACCGAGGCCTTCCGCTGGCTTACCGGTTCACCCCTTTAAAAATTATGGTTCAGCCTGTGTGCTTTACACCAATGCCTTTAATGAAAATTCCTAGCTTTAAAATATTAGAAAAACGTATCTTCTTATTAATAAAATATAAATGCACAGATAGTAGTTTTCTCCGTAAGCTCGCAAAAATGTATATTATTATTATTATTTTTAGCTAAGATATAAATGCATAAATTACTTTTTTTGTAAGCTCAGCTCAAAAACCTATATGTAACTAAATTCCTGCTAGGAAGACTGCCAGCGTCGTGGGTTGGCTTATGTAGGAACTCTCCTCATTATTTTTAACATATAGTAGTATAACTGATAAGTTAAACATACTCTCACAAACTAAAAAGCCTTGATAAACAGCACCGTAAGGGTGCCTAGTCATACATGAATGTGTTCACTATCTTAACAAATATTTGCTCAAGTCTAAAAATAACTGCCTGAAATTTTACCAAGGTCTCACAGAGAAGGGCTGACAGCATTTCAGCAAATTATATATTAATCTAAATACTGTATCTACATTAAATTAAACATAAAAACCATATCGAAATAAGAACAAAGGCTATGAATAACCTCAAAACACTACTGGAACATTTAAATGAGAGATGTAAAGAGTATTGCCACCCCCACCTGATCCTTGACGGAAAGCAGGAGCTGCTGAACTTCCTCATTCGGAGGCTTAACTTCCGATGTTCCTCCAGGCATCGTGATGCACTGATGTACTATGTATTCCCTGTGTCACTACCTGTAAAAATTAAATTAAATATTAGTATCCTGAGAGAATACGTGGAAAAAAGATAGATAACTTTTTATCTGCTGAGAAAAGGTAAGCCAAGAACCTGAAAGGTTCAAAATACATTATTATTATTATTATTATTATTATTATATTAGTATTATTGTACTTAAGGAGATGCGTGAAACCCACAGGAGTTATACAGCGCCTGTGGAATGAGAAATAGTAGGCAATCAAGACTGATTCAGGAAAGTAGTGGGTAGCTCCAATTTCTTGGATTAAGAGCTCTTCACTGGCAACAATGAACCCCTTACTTATATAGATTTTATAAGAAAGAAGAATGTTGGGGGAGGGGGGGAATGAGGGACGAACATAACCAGGGGTTCGAGGTGAACAGAAACGGGTAAAAGAGACGAGCAGGAAAGATATACGAAGAGGAAAGATACGATGAGCAGATTTATACAGAGTAGAGGAGAGATACAATAAGCAGGAGAGATATATGAAGAGCAGGGAAAAGGCGAAGAGAAGGGAAGATATGAAGAGCAGGGAAAGGGTGGTAGATAAGACACATAGGCAACTTGATTCCGAAACGTTTCGCCTACACAGTAGGCTTCAGTCAAGTACAGAAAGTAGGCAGGAGCAGTAGAGATGTGAAGACGATGTAATCAGTCCGTCACCCATGAAGTCTGATTACATCGTCTTCACATCTCTACTGTTCCTGCCTACTTTCTGTACTTGACTGAAGAAGCCTACTGTGTAGGCGAAACGTTTCGGAATAATGTTGCCTATGTGTCTTATCTACCAACCTGTCGGTATTGTATACCATTTGATACTCACTCAGCAGGGAAAGAGTAAAGAAAAGGGAAGCGGGGTGAAAAGTTGCAACGGGGAATGGAGAGAAGCAAGGTTGGGAGTGACGAGGAGAATCGGTAGATGGGTGAAGAATAAGCAAGTTTATTCAGGTATACACAAATAGTAAATAGATCATCATACATAGCAGCATATGTGTAGAGAACCTGGGATAACCCAAAAAAGTCAGTGACTTATTTCCATTGGGGTCCTTTTACCTTATTATTATTATTATTATTATTATTATTATTATTATTATTATTATTATTATTATTATTATTATATAAAGGTTATAATATCTTATTATTATTCTATAATGGAGATAACATCTTATTATCATACTAAAGACTATCTACAACACGAGGGTTATTACTATGAATAAGAAAGTCAAAGAAACGGATAAAGTACATGGAGAAAGAGGAGCAGAGGTTATACTGGAGAAATTAAGATTAAAAATAAAATAAGGTTGTAATCCTGAGTGGGCCATACCTGGAGTTTACCTGGAGAGAGTTCCGGGGGTCAACGCCCCCGCGGCCCGGTCTGTGACCAGGCCTCCTGGTGGATCAGCGCCTGATCAACCAGGCTGTTGCTGCTGGCTGCACGCAAACCAACGTACGAGCCACAGCCCGGCTGATCAGGAACTGACTTTAGGTGCTTGTCCAGTGCCAGCTTGAAGACTGCCAGGGGTCTGTTGGTAATCCCCCTTATGTGTGCTGGGAGGCAGTTGAACAGTCTCGGGCCCCTGACACTTATTGTATGGTCTCTTAACGTGCTAGTGACACCCCTGCTTTTCATTGGGGGGGTGGTGCATCGTCTGCCAAGTCTTTTGCTTTCGTAGTGAGTGATTTTCGTGTGCAAGTTCGGTACTAGTCCCTCTAGGATTTTCCAGGTGTATATAATCATGTATCTCTCCCTCCTGCGTTCCAGGGAATACAGGTTTAGGAACCTCAAGCGCTCCCAGTAATTGAGGTGTTTTATCTCCGTTATGCGCGCCGTGAAAGTTCTCTGTACATTTTCTAGGTCGGCAATTTCACCTGCCTTGAAAGGTGCTGTTAGTGTGCAGCAATATTCCAGCCTAGATAGAACAAGTGACCTGAAGAGTGTCATCATGGGCTTGGCCTCCCTAGTTTTGAAGGTTCTCATTATCCATCCTGTCATTTTTCTAGCAGATGCGATTGATACAATGTTATGGTCCTTGAAGGTGAGATCCTCCGACATGATCACTCCCAGGTCTTTGACGTTGGTGTTTCGCTCTATTTTGTGGCCAGAATTTGTTTTGTACTCTGATGAAGATTTAATTTCCTCATGTTTACCATATCTGAGTAATTGAAATTTCTCATCGTTGAACTTCATATTGTTTTCTGCAGCCCACTGAAAGATTTGGTTGATGTCCGCCTGGAGCTTTGCAGTGTCTGCAATGGAAGACACTGTCATGCAGATTCGGGTGTCATCTGCAAAGGAAGACAGTGCTGTGGCTGACATCCTTGTCTATGTCGGATATGAGGATGAGGAACAAGATGGGAGCGATGGAGGATAACTCATGACGAGTTACTAAATACCTCATATGAATTTATTATTTTAAATCTGGAGAAGCGCCAAACCCATAGGAGTCATATAGTGCCTGGGGAATGGAAGGCCTTCATCTCTCTCCAAGAGAAGAATCTAATTCCTTAGATCAAGGTACCTTCCTGGAAGGGTTTTCAGTTGAGAGATTATATAATCTGGTTGCTCATATGAGCACCATATGAAAGCTGGTATGTAACGATTATAATCATGAAGATAGTAGTAGGAACAATGAGTCCTAACCATAATTTTTAAAGGGGTGGACCGGTAAGCCAGCTGAAGGCCTCGGTCAGGCGACCAAAAGCTCCAGCTGCGGGTCATCACATGAGACCCACGTCAAGAAACACTTGTCCTGTTTCCTGACAAACCATACCTAACCTATAGTCAGTGTAGTGCTAATCCCACAGGGTTCACACAGCACCTGGGAAAACGGGAGGTATTCAGGTTTATTACCAGGAAAGGAATGAGCTACAATTCCCTGAACCAAGATCCCCTCACTGGCGCCAAGGAACCTCGCTGGAGGGGATGTAGCTGTTGCTGTCAGCATCAACAGTCAGTCGCTACTCCAACACTTCATTAACATTTATTTTTAACAATTTACCGCAAGAATATGAATAATATCAGATTTGCTTCATTGTTTTGTTTTATGCAAGCTTAAAGTGCCACCATTAGAATACATTAGTATTTGTTTTAAATGCAGAAATACAGTAATGGAACGTGAGAAATAAAATAATAAAACTATATATACACATAAAAGTTACTTACCAGCAAAATCAGATTGATGTACACCACCCCACGTGTCAAATAACACTGATGCTTCTGTCATGTGTTGCCAGTTCTTCATGGAACACCCACCTAGTACGACACTTTCGGTCATTCCAGTCTTATTCCTTCTTGCCTGGCTTTCATTCTCATTATACATACATAAAACACATAATAACGTTTGTTATTTTCTAATAGAAAACAACAATAAGGATATATAATAGAATATCTAAATAATTGGCCTAATAAAGCAAGGTCCCGCTACCCCATTGCCAAGCATAAGACGAATTTGAGCTATACCCTCATGTTCAATATATCTGTTGTTCTTTTTACTTTCGATTATGCTAGTCCAGTTTATCTCTGCAATAATAATAATAATAATCTTAATTTCTACAACGTATATAATACAAGTGATACAGACCTACATGATATTATTTTATTTTTCATTTACAATTTAATGACATACTTATAGAAGCCCCTGGTTATTCAGAGCACTTCGGGCAGCCTAAGTTAATCTTGTCCCTCATGATGCGACCCACAACGGTGGACTAACACTCAGGTACCTACTTACTGCTAAGTGAACAGGGACAGCAGGTGAAAGGAAACGTACCCAATGTTTCACTAATTCCGGGGATCGATCCCGAACCGAGGGTTCGGAATCGATCTCCGGCTCAGGATGGGTGTTGAATGATTAACATCCACAGTATGGTTACGAAGTGACTATCATCCACAATATGATTATGGAGTGACTATCGTCCACAGGATAGACTGGGTGACTACCCACATGGTGAGTATGGTGTTACTATATAACGTCAATGATTTGCCAGTGAAACTACCAGGTGTTGATCCACTAGGAAAATAAAATCTCACCTCCCGATCTAATAAGGACGCTTTGTTGAGGGAATAATAATAATAATAATGTAATAATATCTTTATTTACTACAAGTACATGTACAAGGTATACAGGTCTAGCTGACAACAATGACATACTATATAGAAAGCCCCTTGTTATGCTCCGCATGTTGGGCAAATTAGGTCAGTGTCCCAGGATGCGACCCACACCTGTCGACTAACACCCATGTACCCATTTTACTGACGGGGAACATAGACAACAGGTGGAAAGAAACACGCCCAATGTTTCTACTCTGGCTGGGAATTGAACCCAGGCCCTCGCCGTGTGAAGCGAGACCTTTAGCCACCAGTGAATTTCTCCACTGGAAATCAAGGAACCTAATGATAGTGCATGACAGTGGCTTTCTTTGTGTGTACCAATACCTTCTTACACGTAACCTGCAGCTTGTATGCAACACAAAGAAATAAAAATTTGAATTTGAATCAATCCTCTGATAAATTGATTCGGGCGCCATACATCAGGTCCTTGTAAGACTCCGGAAAGCCTGATGCCTTTGACTCAGAAAAAAAGGCTACCGGGGTTTATGCAAGGTAGTCCACCTAACCTAATCGGGAGCATTTTGTTCCCATTTCTCCTTCCCATATTAAACTTAGTTTCCTTAATAATTCCCACCCATATTTGGGTAACATATTTTTACCTTATAAAAACCAACACTCAGACGTCAGCTTTGGTGGCCCTCACCAACTACAGCATCAAGCAAGATGGTGATGGCGACCTCGTGGGCGCACGGAGAAATGTTATTCTATGTCACAACTCGTGCAGTCCTCGGGAGGAATGAACTTCTTAAGCAAACTGTATGTATCCTGAAGACGAGACAGAAGGAAAAAGAAAAACACGTATCGTGATAAAAGTTGTGAGAGCGTGTAGGAGAAACAGCATCAGATGTGGAACACGAGGATGCTAGTGCAGCATCCCTAGACCTGTGTCCATGGAGACACTGTCTTTACGTAAGCATTTATTTAAACCATCTATATATAATGCAAACTTATTTTTTTTTATAATGGTCATGAGGCATCAACACTTAATATATCTTACATTTAAGATTTTTTTTTTCATATCAATTTTACAGGCTAAGAGCTGTTATCCTACCTTATTTTATTCCAAAAATATAATATTTGCAGTCTTTGTCTGCAGTAAATTGGCTCTTATAGAGATAATGGACTAATGTGCCAATAAGGAATTAGTTTTAGGGAAGAGTTCAAGTTATGTAATACTATTCTTCAAATAATGATTGCAATAATTATTAAAATATGATATTAATATATTAATTTCTAGTACCAATGCAATACAGATTTTTATTTCTTTGCAAAGGTTACAATGTGTGATTTACGTTTTATAAAATGTTGTTAAGTACAAAGAAATCCACTAACAATAATTACAGTAGTAATTATTATATAAAGAATAGCAATATTATTCAAGATAATATGCAAAACACATGATAATGTTTAGTATATAAAACAGAATATACAAAAGAAAAGGATACGTATATTCAAAACTGGGTATTGAACAAGACAATAGTGTTTTATATAAACCAGTATACTCTAGCAGATTTCAGAAATTACATGTGAATAGCTGCATTGTAAAAGTTTTACCAAGAAAAAGTAGGACACAGATTCTTATATAAAATAATGGAGAGGGGGGGATAAGTCTTAACTGTTTTTTTTTTTTTTTTAGTTAAACTTTGGGTTTTTGAGTGATGTATGTGTATGTTATGCAGGCTTGGAAAACAATGGTTACTTGCTGTGGTCACATCTGTTTGTTGAGATGAAAAAACTTGTTTCCTTATGAGTGGAAGGGGCTGGGTTTGATTGGTGTTAAGGGGTACGGGAGTTTTTTCTTGAGTAGCTTTAGGTAGATGTCGTTTTGATAAGGACCTGCCTCGTATGGGCCAGTAGGCCTTCTGCAGTGTTCCTACATTCTTATGTTCTTATGTTCTTACACTGAGTTTTAGGTCACTTTGTTTTTTCATGTAATGTGGTGTACCAAAGTATCAGCATCGGTGGGTATTGTCAAATTTTGATGGTGTCAGTATTGGCCTAAGATTGAGTATTGGTATCAGCAATAATTTTGGTGTTGTCTCATCACTATCATGTACTTTACTGATGTAATTGTAGTTTTACATGATTTGTGGTAACTAGTTAGGCCAGGAAATTGAATTAGATTTTGCATTCATGTGTCACTTCCAAGGCAACAAATTTTATTTCTTTTTTTGCAGCATTACAAAATATAGTTTACATGTAATTAAATATTGTTGAACAGAAAAAAAAAAGTCACTAGCATGATGTGCATTTCAGGCAGACTAATCTTAATGCTTACAGACTACAAAAGTGAGATAACTAGTACCAGTAGTACAATTTTAATGTATACTTAAAATTGTATTATTGTTCACTTAGCTACCTCACTTTTTTAGCATGTAGTATGTAAACATTAGAGTTAGTCTGCATGAAATACACTGCATGCTAGTACCTTTCTTTTGTGTTTAACAATACACAGTACAGTAGACACCAGTATGTAAATATGTACTGTACATTGTATATCCTTTATACAGTATGCACTTTGTATATTTGTGTGCTATATTTATATAAATATAAATGTGTGCACCATATTATTTATAGCTTAATTATGCAATATTAGTTATTAAAATTAGCAGAATTTTAAATTTCTGTTCCTAAAATTCTTTTCCTTGAGTGAATTCTCTATTAACAATTTGTGGCCCTTGAATTCAAGAGGTGTATCACAGTGGTACTTCTCCTACCACAAGGGCCAGAGTAAATTGCTACTGGTTTTGTTGATACATCTAATGCTGATGAATCTCAAGCCTTAGCCAAACAGTTCAACTACATTCATGAACTAGCACTAAACCTGCAGGGGCCAGGTAAATATAAGCAGTTTTTATATATGTTTTGGGTACATAACATATAAATGGTCCTGTGGGCAAACATTCTGTAAGCACCTAGAAGTGCATGATTATGTACATAGATGTAATCTAGCATAACCCAATAAAGCAAAACATTGTGACTGATTTAAATCAGGTAATCAAATTTGAATCAAGGAAATAGAGGATAATACCAATTAATTGAATCAAGTGCCTTCGATTACACTTTTTTTTTTTAAATTGAGCTAAACAGATGCAGTAACTTTAAATTAGTCTATGGATATAACCAGCAGTGTACCAAGTAGGTAATAATTTTCTAATTATTATATTTATTGTTATTACATTACAAGAAAGCACTAAACCCATGTGGGTCATACAGTGCTGATGTTTTTCTAAGGAATGTATTTATCTTGCTAACTAATTCTTTTGCTTTCATCAGGTGCTGTATCCCAAGAGCTCTTCAAATAGGATGGTGGATGCTTAATCATTGAAGAAGTAAAAATCGTACACATTACTTGTGCCTTTACAAGAAGCACTCGAACGTTTGTAAGTGTTTAGTTTTTTCTCCATTAGATGCTGTTTAGAAATCTAGTGAAGTAAACTTGCAGTACCATTGAATAATGTGAGGAATTTTATTATGATTATTATTATTAAAATCATAACTAAGTGCTAAACCCACGAGGGTCATACACCGTGACGAATTTTAAAAACATTAGATATAACTGATAACTTACAATATTCTTATCAAAATTAGTTTGTTATATAGCAGGGTATAAATGGAATATGATTATTAAGGCTCATATTGGAGTACAGTATTATCTATACTGTACTGTCATAGTCCGTTGTGGAGCATAGGATTGCATGGGTAAAGGAAAGTGTAATTTGGTCTGTCTTGTATTTGGTTAACTGTAATGGGAGTTATCCAGGATGGGTGTCATTTGAGTTTATTTAGAAAGATTGGCTATAATATCAGCATTATCTGTGACAGAGGTTTTTATACCATAACTACCTTATCATGGAAATCTTAATATGTGACCATACTTAATTTATTTTTTCATACGAGTTTACATTAGTACTAGTACGATAATTAAACTCTCCAAACGAAGGGTTCGATCCCTCTGTTTGGTGAGTTGTTTACAATCATGCCATTACAATTTTGCAGGTTATTCATAAGAGAAATTATGTTTCATTCATTGTAAATTGAAGAGTTTATTATGAAATAATAGTGCTTTGAATAGTAAAAATTTATACTGTAGGTATTACCATTACTGTTTGATCTTGATTGATGTACTGTATAGAAAAAGTTTAATTGTGGTACAGTACTATGTATGCATACAAATTTATGTATGTACTTAAATTATTGTAAAAGT